TCCAATTTCTATTATGACATTGATGGGGTTCTTGAGCAGTTTAAGTGTTAAGCAAACTGGCTGACAGATAAGCATTAATGTTCTTATTGTTTCTTAAAGAACAGAAATGGTTCATTCTTTTTTCTACACACACAAACACCTACACAGTCACTATATTGGAGGCATAACAGATGTTATGTATTGGATAAATAATTAATATATAGCTTAAAGACTCTCCTCGCTCCAAAGAAAAATGTCTTCCTTACAGAAGCCTGTAGGTGCAGTCGATGCAGAGGGATTGCTTTTTCATTGTTCAGCACAAACCCCATGAGGAGATGCTCCATACTGAGTCGTTTAATTGTCTCGAGCGGGCTGATATTGGCTTGGTCATTAGATGTGTATGAACAAAAATGCTGACGCGATAATAAGGCAGCACGCAGGGTGCCATTGACTCTGTCACACTTATTTTTTGAAGGCTTTGTGTTTTATACTGTATTTGGGGGAAAAAAACATTTGCTTTCTAATAAGCTGACACTTTATCTTTTTTATTTCCAGCACTAGAGTAATTCAAGAAGTGTAAAACTGAGGAGAAACAAACTTTGTCTATTTAATACTATAAAATAATCGTGACTAACCTTTTGACAACTGTTATTGGTACACTACCAATCAAATTTATCTTATGTAAATTAAAAATGTTACATTTAAGAAAAGAAGAAGACTTCAGGGTGCAATTATTTGATCAAAAATGCAGTTATTAAAGTCAATTTTAATACTTTATGAAATATATTTTATTCAATTTTAATACTGAATTTTCTGTAAACGATTAATTTTATTCTAATACCGCTGAAGTCAGGATTATTAGTCATCTTTGATTTGATAGGGCAAAGAAATTTTCACAATATGTCTGATAATATTTGTTTTTTTCTGGAGAAAGCCTTATCTATTTTACTTCATCTAGAATAAAAGCAGTTTTTAATTTTTTTTTAAACTCATTTTAAGGGCAAAATTATTAGCCCCTTCAAGCTATATTTTTTCTTTTTCGATAGTCTACAGAACAAACCATCGATATACAATGACTTATTAATCTAACTTGCTTAATTAACCTATCTAACCTAGTTAAGCCTTTAAATGTCACTTTAAGCTGTATAGAAGCTATATAGAAGCTATTTAAGGGCATTTCTTATGACTTCAATAGGATCTTTTGTTGTCAGGCTTAGGTTTCCTTTTTAATATTAAGATATTTGTTTTGAAATCTGTAATACCACTATTGTCCCTCATCGACAGTAAAAGAACCAACCTTTATATATTTTAAGGACATAGTCACTGAGGAGAAATCAGATGCTCAAGACATAATCTTTAAAATAATGACATATTAAAAATGCACCAAATACATGACAGATGTTTACAACAGCAGTGGATCATTAATTAAATCCTTATTTTCCACAGAGCAAAGCATCATCCACCCGCAATTAAGGCGACACGAACTAAAAAAAAACTAAAAAAAAAAAATATACATTAAAATGAAGTTATACATCATACATAATAATATACATACATACACATTATACATAATAATATACATACATACACATTATACATACATTATATATATATATATATATATATATATATATATATATATATATATATATATATATATGTACCTCCACATACACACGTATCCTAATCTTGGTGCGTAAAGGGTTTTTAAATTATAAATAAATATTAATTA